GATATCGCTCCGGGGTCGTCTCGGAGCCCTCGTGGGCGTCTCGATAGCGCCCCAAGAAGGCCGGAGAAGCAAGACGGCCGACGACGACGACGACGACGGCGGCGACGACGACGACGCCGACGTCGACGACGACGAAAACGCCGACGCCGACGCCGACGACGACGAAGACGACGACGCCGCCAACGAAGACGACGACGAGGGAGGAGGGAGGACGACGACGGCGACAACGACGACAACGACGACAACGAGGGAGGAGGGAGGACGGCGACGACGCGAACGACGAAGAAGGAGGAAGGACGGCGACGCCGACGACGACAACGACGAGGGAGGAGGGAAGACGACGACGAGACGACGACGACACGACGGCGACGAAATAGGAGGGACGACGACGAGATGCCGACGACGGACGACGACGACGACGAGGGAGGAGGAGGAAGGACGACCACGGCGACAACGACGACGGAAACGACCACGACGCCAAAGAGGACGACGACGACGAACACGAGGAAAGACACAGGACGACGTAGGCGACGACGACGACGACGACGACGCGGGAGGAGGGAGGACGGCGACGACGACGACGACGACGACGACGACGACGACGCAAGAGCGCGCGCGCACGCTTTTGTTGTAAATCCGTGTTGCGAAACCTTGTGTTTTTGTAGGTTTTTTGGACGCGCGATTTTGAAATCCTTCCGAAACCGATGGTTTTTGAAGGATCTCGGCGTACGCGCGCGACGACGCGCGCGTCTGCACTTCGTCCCATTTTTGCAGAGGATTCTCGCGACGGCACACGCGCAAGGGCGTTCGACAGATTTCGACATGCGCGCGACGCCTGTTTGGTCGCATGTTTTGAAAATATTGAAAAACCAATGGTTTTCTTAAGATTTCGCAAGAGTTCGCGCGGAAGCTGTTTTAGCAAATCAGTGTTACGAAACCCTGCGTTTTTGCATGTTTTTGGAAACTCGATTGCGAAATCCTTCCGGCACCGAAGGTTTTTTAAGGATTTCGGCATGCGCGCGCGACGACGCGCGCGTGCGCACTTCGTCCCATTTTTTTGCAAGGGATTCGTGAAAAAGTGCTATGCTAGATCAAAAAATGTCACCGCATAGTGTTTTTTACTAGGGAACCTCAGGGGGGGATACCGGCTGGCCTGGGACATTGTGATTTCAAATTTCGGATGGACCTGTGGTCAGAATCATATCTGATTCACATACCCGAAAGGGGGACCGATGACGCCAGGGGGGGGTAGAGTCTATTCTTTTTTTAGAAAGGAGAATATAGGTTGTGAGCTCTATGTGGGGCAGTCTATGGTGTGCGACCTATGTAAAGCAGCCTATGGTCTGCAATATATCTGGAGCAGTCTACGTTGTACCATATATGTGGGGCACTCTATGCTGTGCAATTCAGATTATGCAGTCTATGTGGAACAATCTATGTGGTGCTATATGTGTTGTACAATCTATGTGGTGTAATGTATGTGGTGGAATCCATGTTGTGTTGTGCAGTGCATGTTGTGCAAAGCGACGGGGTGGTGACGGGGCGGCGGCGACAACATAGCCGCCAGACCGCCACCCAGGCCCAGACGATTGGCGGCAACGAGGCGGTGACGGGGCGGCGACGGCGACACAGCCGCCAGACCGCCACCCAGACCCAGACGACGGGCGGCGACGAGGCGGCGACGGGGCGGCGACGGAGACGACATAGCCGCCAGACCGCCACCCAGGCCCAGTTCCTGAGGTAACAGGTAAGAACCCCTCAGTGCAAGCACTGTTTGGGGCATTTTCCTTTTCCTATATTTCTATAAGCCCGGGCGGGGGGAAGACCCCCTACCCCCCTCCCCCCCAAAAAACCGGACTCCCGGGATCTGGGGCTTTGGGACCCTCCGGACGGGCCTCGAAGCGGCCCCCCAGGCCTCGCAGGGCGTTTCGCCAAGCCTTCCCAGCACACCTAGGGCGATCAGGGGGGTCATCGGAGACGTGCCAGAGACCCCCCAGACAGCACAAGAGCGCTCCAAGAGTGACCGACGTGACCTCAGGCCCAAGAGGCCTCCAGGACGGCCCCAAAGAGGCCTCCAAGAGCACTCCCAAGAAGGCCCCGAGAGGCAAAAATCATGGATTTTCGGTTGGTCATTAGTGAATTTGGGGGTTCTCTTCTTTTCGGCTTCCCGACGCTCCAAGACGGCGGTCTTCTGGGCGTCCGAAGCCGCCTGGGAGGCTCCAAAATCGCCCCACAACCATCCGAAAGGGCTTCCAGGCAGTCCAGGAGAGCCCCAAAACGGCACAACACAGGTCCAAGATGGCCCTCAGAGAGCCCCATGGCGGCCCAAGATGGCCCCAAGGCACCTTCCGAAGCATTCCATATCGTGACCCGGTCGTTCAGGGAGACCGCGGTTGGAGGCAGGGTGGCCCGAGGAAGCCCCCAGAGGCCCCCAGAGTACGCCCAGGAGGCTTCCAGAAGGCCTTAAGAAAGCCTGAAACAATTTTTGTGTGGCCCCAGGGGCTCTCCAAGGAGGAGCCTCCGCAAAAAAAGAGCTGAGGAGGATGGGGAGAATGCGCAGGGTATGGCGTAAATGAGGAAAAAGAAGCATGGAGGAAGGATAACGAATAGCATTATTATAGCGGCGGTTCCGGAAAAGGCAACATGGAGTGATCGCTAAATTGTCGACTTGACTTTTCTGCTATTCCACCTGGGGGCCCGGAGGCTCGTCGGACCGCCGGACGCCGTCCAAGATCGTTCGCAGGCGGCTTCGAAACGCGCTCCGATGGCTCCAGATGCCTTCCAAGACGCCTGTCATGACACCAAGAAGGTCCCAGAAGCCTCCAAGACGCTCCGAGAGGCAGCCCAAGAGAGGCCCAAGAAGCAAAAATCGTGCCATTCCTATGGGAAAACGTATATTTTTCGCATGTTCGCCTCTTGGGCTTTCACCGCGTCCAAGACGGCCCAAGAGGCGCCCAAGACGGTCTACGAGGCCTCCGGGAGCGCTCCAAGGCTGCGCACGAGTGGCCCAGGACGGCCCCAAGACGGCCGAAGAGAGCCCCAAGACGAGTTCGAGAGGGGTCCCAGACGGAGAAAGCCAACCTCGAATTCCGAGCTTCCGGCCCAAGAGGCTCCAGGAGGCGCCAAAATGCCGCCAAGAGGCGCCAAAAGGCTCCCAAAAGCACCCCAAGACGTTCCGAGAGGCACCCCAAGAGAGGTCCAAGAAACAAAAATCGTGCCATTCCTATGAGAAAACGTATATTTTTCGCATGTTCGCATCTTGGGCTTTCACCGCGTCGAAGACGGCCCAAGAGGCCTCCAAGACGGCCTAGGAGGCCTCCGGGAGCGCTCCAAGGCTGCGCACGAGTGGCTCAGGACGGCCCCAAGACGGCGCAAGAGAACCCCAAGACGACTTCGAGAGGGGTCCCAGAAGGAAAAAGCCACTCTCGAATTCCGAGCTTCCGGCCCAACATATCCCAGGAGGCGCCAAAACGCCGCCCAGAGGCGCCAAAAGGCTTCCAAAATCAGCCCAAGACGTTCCGAGAGGCACCCCAAGAGAGGTCCAAGAAACAAAAATCGTGCCATTCCTATGGGAAAACGTATATTTTTCGCATGTTCGCATCTTGGGCTTTCACCGCGTCCAAGACGGCCCAAGAGGCCTCCAAGACCGCCCCAAGACGGCCCAAGAAGCTTCCAAGAGGGCCCCAGGACAGCCCAAGAGGGCCCCAAGACGGCCCAAGAGGCGCCCAAGATGGCCCAAGAGGGCCCCAAGACGGGCCCAAGAGGGGGCCCAGAGGGGGACCACGAACCGCAAGCTCGAGCCTTCCGCCCCAAGAGGCCGCCAGGAGGCCCCAAGGAGGCCCCTCAAGAGGCCCCAGGAGACCCCCAAGAGGCCCAAAGGAGGCCCCGAGAAGCTCCAAATCGGCCCCCAAAATGCTTCGAACTTGCTTCCAGGAGGCCCCCGACAGGTTCAGTCCGAGAAGCTACGTCAAACTCCCAGCGAGCGGCCGGACGAGGCCCCCCACAAAATCACAAGAGGGTTCCAGTATTTCTATCTTTCAGCGCTCTTTGGCCTTCTTCCCCCTGCCCCCTTCCCTGCGACTTTCGTTGACTCAAGCTCGCCTCCTAGCTAGAACCTAAGCGCGCGCGAAGCGCGCGCGTGGTTCTAGTGTATATATACGTGTATACATATACATAATATGTGTGTGTGTGTTGTGTGTGTGTGTTGTGTGTGTGTTGTGTGTGTTGTGTGTGTGTTGTGTGTGTGTTGTGTGTGTGTGTTGTGTGTGTTGTGTGTGTTGTGTGTGTGTTGTGTGTGTTGTGTGTGTGTTGTGTGTGTTGTGTGTGTTGTGTGTGTTGTGTGTG